ATGTGTCTTTGCAGAAAGAGCCGGACTACTTGTGCTGCTGGTATGGCCTTGCTACGTTTATCAGGATGCGAGGGGCCGTTGGTCCGGCTTCAATGCGAAACGATCCATGCGGGCTCGCAGCCCTCGCGTGCGTGCGGCTTCGCAGAAATGCCCTGAAGTCCCAAACCAGACTCCCTCGAAGCTGAAACCCGAAACATGGTATTCAGTGACCAGATGCGGAAGGGAAAAGAGGTGATGAAAAAGGAAGCCCGAAACAGTAGCGTATTCTTCTAGGTGTGGCGAGGGTCGTGCAGGCTGCCACGAAGATCTCGGTTTCAGTAGGATCAGGAAGCCGGTAATCTGGCAGCAGTAATGGTACGGTTTCTTTACCAGAGTAGTTCTGCGAGAGGATGCTGATTAGACTATGATAGAGCAGAACAGAACAAAAGTTTGAGTCCTTTTGTCCATCATGCTGCAGTATGGCCCGACGACATGTAACTCCCGATGATGCGACTGACGAGGACACAGCGCCGTGAATCTGGGAGAGTACTTCATCATGTGGCACCGCTACTGTGCGACTTCACGGCATGGGAGCAGGGCTTGGTGAAGGTAGATCGGGGTTCGATGCCCTGAAGCAGCACGAGGGAAAGCCCTGACGATTAATAGTTCCGGAGGCACACATGAAGCTCCGTCTGGTGTTTATTGAGCCTATGTGAGCGTCGTGTGCCCAGTCAGCAGGCTATAAGGGTCTCCTTAACGGATCCCAGAACTTGTACCCTCAGGCTTGGGGTTGAGGTAGGGTGCCAAAAGACTGACGACATGCTCTGCTTCGCTAGTGTTCCGAGGCAGCAATCAAGGACGCCAACAGAAAACGCACGGCGGTCAAGGACCGGCGTCAATTCGGAATCAAATGAAAGTGCTGTGAACTACTTGAGAACCGTCCGCTCCTCAAAGTTGAACCAAGCTCCTCGACTCCTAGGCGAGGAACCCCAACGCCTCGCAATTCGGCATTCCCCGGACCTTTCCAGGATGCCATGTCGCGCTTCCTCGAGGGAGAACGCCGCGGGGTATTGCATTCAGTCTACTGGAATTGGAAGAACTACGCAGGAATCTCAGAGACTGTTTCCAGGGTGTTCAATGCTTTCAGGGCCTACATTGTGGCCTACGTGCCACTTGTGCGCTGCATGTTTGTCCACATTCATGTTGATGTGCATGTCTCGTTGTACCGCCAACAAATGCATGAGCATGAACTCATGACAGCTGCAGCTGCATTGTGCAAAGCCAGGGTGACCACCACAAACAGGGCAGGCATCGTCGCTGTGCAGGATCATGTATAATGTCTTCAGCAGAAGTGCCTGTACTTCGAGGCCATGAATGACGCCAAAAACCAAGCGGCCATGGCCAAGCAGATTCCTCAGATGGGCATGGGATGCCAGACCAATCATAAAAGAACCGAGATTTGTTCGTTTCTATGTCTGGCTTTCGTCTCAGCTGTTTTGATTGCACCAGGGCAAAGCACCGTCGCAGGGTAGGAGACTGCAAAGAGCAGGTGTTTTGTAGACAGAATCTAGGAGTGCGCAGTCCAAGAGTTAACACTTATCTTTCCCAAGAGGCAGCAGTTATACCCGGGAGATGGCAGTTATCTTTCGACAGGTAGCTTGGTAGCCTGAGCACTTGCTCCTCCTCTTGGTGACCCAAAATTGCTGTAGTTTTTCGCCATCCCCTGGTAACCTAGTACTTCTTATGTAGTTTGGGCCGCCTTCTCACCTTAAGTGCAAAGAAGCCCCTCAAACGTGGCTTCGCACCGAGATACCTACTATAATTGTGGTTCCTTTGCAAGGATAACGTAAGTGTAGTTTCTTATCATGGGTACTTGTTGCTGCTACGAAGGACAGCTTCACAAAGAGTTACTGTTTCAATCCCTGACCCTGTAGCCAGACTCCGAACTCGGAAGCAGCTGGCAGGCTTCAGGGCCAGGTAGACAATCTGTCCGGGCCTCAGGTTGCAAGTGGCTAAGCGCAGAACAGAAGGACATGAGATGTCCTCGTGTAGTCTCATCGACACTTGCATTCAGATCCGCTGGTTTATTGAACCCCAGGATCAACTTGTTTGGATGCGTTTCGGAGCTCCCCGTTCCGTGGTCCGTGTGGTTCTTCGCCTTTTGTCATTTCGAGCGATTCTTCTTGATGGAAACGGGGATTTTGAAAATCATGCATTCCTGAAGCTTAAATAATTTAACGCTACGCCGCCCGCCCCGGCTGCTGAGGGGCAGAGGGCACGGGACACACGTCGGTAGCGTTGGTGCATGTCCGCAGCAGAAGCCCAGAGGTTGTGGGAGGAAGACGAGTGTCTACTGCACCAACAGCCTCTTCAAATGTACCCTGCCTGTTAGGGTGGGGGGGGGGGGTTGGAGAGGCCTGAAGCCCAAAAAAACGCCAAAAACAGCAAAAAGTGAGGGGGTCTAGAAGACAAAGGCCGACAAGTGAGGTAAAATTATTCGAAGCCGGGCGGGGGGTGGAAAATGGACGCCAAATGCGGGTGGTTCAAGGAGGAGGATAAGGTGGGGTACTTGAGCTAACCCCCAAGACGCCTGGGCCGGTGGCCTCGGCGGATTGTCAATTGTGCGGGCCAGTGGCGCGCCTCGCAAGTAACAGACCTCTCAGATTTGTGAGGGGTTCAGAGATATCTGAGGCTGCGAAAGCAAGAGAAGGCGATGCAGCGGTGGCGAGCTTATTTACGAAAGTGTCGCTCTTGATCTTGTTTTGAGCTCTGATACCTCATGATTAGTTCTGTCCTCTTCAAAGGCAAGGAAGTTTGTGTTGAGTCTAGGTGCCTGGAACGACGTTCGTGCACAGACACACGCAAACATGGACCCACACCACGCGCACATACATATCAAGTCATTCCAACAAAACTACTCAGCATGCCCGTCAGAGAGCCCCATGATTAGTGGCTAAGGACTGCAGTAGAGAGTAGCGATGTCTGTCACGACGCAGAGGCTTCGGTAGAAGGCACATGTGGCTCAGGTACGCTGCATACCTGGCAGGCTCCAGTGGGCCAGCCTTGAAGGGCTTGGCTCGCGCCTCTCACGGCTCTGCACATTGAAGTGGCTATTGGCGTATGCGTTCACTTGTGTTCCAGGAGCTACTGCCTGCCCAGTGGCAGTGACTACAACAGCCCCACCGATCGCCCAAGGTCTTCCGACGGTGGTTCGAGGTGTCGGCGGGCGTGAAGACCTGCACTAAGAGCTGAACCCTTGCACATACAGTACGGTTGACGGCGTCGAGATGATGAAACCCATAAGACACTTCCTCTTCTTAAAGCCGCTGCAACGGGAATGCAAGAGCGGTTTCGTGGGTCGCCGAGGATGAAGGCAGAGTTTGACCGGGAGCACGAGGCTGGGCTGCTGTGTTAAAGTCCTCCTTCAAGCTGTGTCTCTGGCCATTTGGAGGCGCGTGGAATTTTGGCAGCCACGGCAGCTGAGGTGAAACTGGAAGAGATGAAAAGGCAACACGAGATGAACGAGACACGGAAGAAGGAGGCCCGAGATCGTCACACAGCCAGGCAAACAGAATCCTACAAGTGAAGCTTCCCAAAGCCGACCCTTCACCCGAATTCGTATCTGAGTTTGTCGATCTGTCCTTCCTACGAGGGGTTAATGGGCGCATGGAAAATGGCGCGCAGCAGCATCCACCAGCATTGTAGCCCCGGCACCTGTCATCAACCGTCCTTCTCGTCGGAAGCTCCTCTGTTTGCCAGTTGCGTGCGAAAAGTCTTCACAACCTTGGCATGAAGGCACCTGCAGCGTCAAGTTTCCGGCCCTGGGTCGGGTGGGACTTCTGGAGGGATCCAAGTGTTTTATCAGGGAGCTTGGATGATACCGTTCATTTCCAGGGTCACGTAGACAGGGTAGAGATCGCTGCAGGATCCCTTTAAAAAAAGGTCAGGCTGCTTTAAAGAAGACTCGTTTGGGAAAGGACATCCGAAGACCTGCCCCGCTCTCTTCGAACCGTGTCGACCAACTTGAATTGAACCAAGCCCGACAGTTCCGTCGGGAGCTTCGAGGGAAGGGCGTGGGCAAAACACGCTGGACTTCCTACCTGACCCGGTGAGAGCAAGCAAGCCACTTGATGCTTTGGCCAGTGCAGGGCGACAGGATGATCCTCATGGACGTGTTCCTCGCCTGGTCTTTGCAGTACCAGAAGGCCAAGATCGTCTGAGCCTAAAGCCTTGGCGATGATTTTGGCAGCCACCTGCCACTTCAAGCTTTGAGCTTGAACCAAGACATCCACGCCGTCGCAATTCTACGAACAAGTAAAGGCAACAGAGGAGTTTGTCTGGCGGATCAGTGTAGCATATTTTGTTTGTGAAAGCCATCCTAGACTCTAGACTAGACGGCTTCAGCCATAGTGGCATTCCATCCACAAACCATGCGTCAGGAAATGAGTTGTCAAAAAGGGACTAGATGGATGCCTGACGAGTGTTTGGCTCACCGGTGGATGGATTGGATAATGTGCGATGGCCTTCAAACGTGCCCCGTGTCCCAAGGAGTTTTCCAGATTAGCTAGTCAAGTCGCTATGTACATCTATATCGTGTGGTGCAAGGATTTGGCACGAAGCATGGTATCGCCACATGGGAACAACCCTTTGGTCCGTGTTCCCTCTCTGTCGTCTAGTTTGACCAGCTGAGGCAAACACCCACAAAATGAACGAGTGCCGCACCCAGCATGACGCAGCACATCATGTCCGGTGTGGGAAGAGGACCTATAAGGGCAGGTCTAGGAGATCTACATCAAAAGTATGTCTCTGAGTGCTCGGAATCTTGTGCCAAACACTGGGGTTTGTCTGTGCATTAGCGGTGTGTGAATCCCTTGTCCAGAGCATGTTTTGCCTGTGATCTGCGAGAGCAGCTGTTGGAAGCGTCGTCCAGCTAATTTTCCTTGCTCAAGGCCGATCGAACGCCAAACTCAAAATTGAAACGGCGCTCCTAATCGGCCAGCGGTCGACCAACTTGCCTTAAGATGCTAGGGCAGCTAGTGTTTCGCGGTACCTTCATCACCCTCGAGGAAGAGCCCGAGGGGAGCCGCCGCCGCGTGCGAGCTTTGAGTGCTCCAAGTCGAAGCCTCCAAGCATCCGAAGCTTTGGAGCATGATTGGCAGCAGAAGAACGTCGAACTCCAGAACTATGTCGGAGGATTGCTTGCTGAACCAACTTTTGGCGAGACGCCCGAAGCATCCGAGTCTGAGGAGGACATGGCCTCTGGAAACGACGAGGAAAACCCGGGCTTGCAAGACGACGACGCCGTCGGGGTACGGCTGAACGAAGGAAGTTTGGGCCACCCTGGGCTTTGTCGACGTCCATGCGTCCACTTCGCCAAGGCACCAAAGCCATGGGATCTTCTCGTTATGATTCTTATACTATATTGCTGGTCGAAACTTGATGCAGAGGTTCCACAGTACTAATTGGTACTAGTACTAGAGTACTAGTAGTAGTCGTCGTAGTAGTAGTGGTGGTAGTACTGTAGTAGTAGTAGTAGTAGTAGTAGTAGCAGCAGTAGTAGTAGCAGCAGGAGTAGTAGTAGTAGTAGTAGTAGTAGTAGTAGTAGTAGTAGAGAAGTAGTAGTAGTAGGTGGTAGTAGTAGTA